CTGCCGAGCCAGCCCTGAGCCGCAGCCAGCCTTGAGTGCAGACCCCTGGCAGCAGCCTGCCTGTCCGGATAGGCAGCGAGTTACGTCAGATCGGTGCACGGGGGGTTTAATCCTTTTTTTTTTTTTACTATTTTTGGCAGGTCACGAACTGGCAGAGATAAGAGAACGATCCCTGAAGACTATTCTGTTCAAGTTAGAGCATAACTTGATTTCGTATGCCGATCTGGTCCATGAAAAGGTGCTTTTCCCTAATCTGTTGGAGTGGTTCAATTTTCCAGTCGTGCCAATGAAAGAGGAAGTACTAAATTTTGTGAACAGTTTGATCAAGGTATGACATACTAATGTTTATTTATAGTGAAGCTATATGCCTTTGGAATGCTAAATAAAACTGGATGTCACTTGGTTTTGTAGCGCCATGTAATGAGATTTTTAGAGTGTTTTACAAAGACGGGAGTAATAAAGCTACTGTGTGCAGACAGAAATTAAAACAGTTTGAGTGACTTGAAATGCCTCAGCTGAAAAAACCCCATTCTTTTCTGGCTTTCTGCTTTAGTTTTCCTGCTGTTTCAGCGCTTTGTTTAGTGTTTAATTTCCTCCTTTGGGGCATGATTTGCAGCTAAGCCCTTGCACTGTTCCTGGAAAGTGAAGATTTGAACAATGGTGCAACTTATTTTAAAGAAGCTGAGAAAACGTTCCAGAAATCTCAAGAGACCTCAGATTCTTACGTTCTTGCGTTTTAACCACTAACCAGCAGCGATGCAGAGGGAAAAAAAAAATCCCATCCTGATACTGATAGATGGCCTAAACAAATAAAAGTGAACTGGAACTTCAGTTTTGGTTGCAATTCTCTCCTCCCCCTGCTGCCCCCCGCCCCCCAAGAGACGGCGAGACTCTCGGGCTGACTGTCGGTTCTCTCCTGGACCCCGCCGGCTGCCCAGAGGATGGTCGCCGTTGGTGCCGTGGAATTCTTCTCTCGGCTGCGCCCGGACGTGAATCCCAACCTGCAGGCGGTGATTGATGGGATTGTGGACGGGCTGTTGTTCCTTCCTTCTGGGCCTCCTGCTGGGTCCTCGTCGGTTCCTTACCACGCTGCCTCTCGGCCGTCCGTCGATGAACCAGGTAGCTCGTGTAGTTTGAAGTGTGGTTTGTTTGAAATGAAAATACAGCAAGCGAGGAGCTTCTCGGCTGTGAAAAGCTGATGTTTGCAGGCATAGCAGGCGAACTCTTCCCGAGGGGCCAGTGAGGTGTGCGGTGAGCAGATTCTGCCAAGGGAAGTGTGATCTTGGTGATGCCATTCCTGTAACGGAGATCTCTGCACCAGAACAGTCCTGGTGTTTGTCATCAGACCCTCTGTCCATTTCTCCCTGTGTAACACCCGTTTGCTGCGACGTGAGCAGGAGCAGCTTCCAAAGCCACTGTGGGGCAGCAGGGTGGCAACCTTGAACAGGTCTGTACGCTTTGCTGCTTTTCTGTGCAGAGCAGGCTTCAACTTAGAGCAATTAAAATCTTAAAAAAAACCAACAACAAAAACCAAACAAAACCTCCAAAAAATAAGAAAAAAACCCAAAAACCCTGAAAGAGCTGTAAGTGTTCCTAGCAGAATGGTTTTTAGCACTGCGTTAGTTGTATGCCCTGTCTGCTTGGCTTTGGACAAGTACTTGTCACAGAAAGACAGGTAACCTTTGTGTAAGGCTCCGCACCGAGTGTGAAGTGCTGCTGCTGCTGGTGCCGGGCTTGCTGCCCGCCTGCTACGGTGACGTGCGGTGCCGCTTTGCTGTAGCCAAGAAGGAAACCCACGTGGGTTTACTTCTCTTCTTCGGCCTCAAAAATTCTAGCACAGGGTGCAGAGGAGAAGGTGACAAACCAGGGGGGGCCCTTCCTCCATGCTCCTGGCTCCGTGGGGAGGTCACTGCTGTGGTGCTTCGCACCTCGGTCCCTCGGCGAGGAAGGGAATTCTCCTGTCGCTTCTGCAGCCTGGCTCATGCTTGGAGCTGTGGTTTGCTACTGCTGTGTGGTGGCTGGTGATTGATTTATTTTTTTCCTCCCCTCTGTGCCCACATAGGGGCAGATTTCTACCCAAGATTGCCACTGTGTGGGAAATACTATAATAATCTTTTACACGTGCATTTTTAAGCTGTACCTTGTTGAAACTACCCGGTTGAAGTATGGCACATAGTTTCTACTTGTGCTGTAAACTGTATACGTGTGTGGATTAAATAATAATCTTAATGCTTAGTAACAGGGGTGTTGCATTTTGGTTTTCAATTTCAGTTACTGGGAAAAATGGTAAACTAATAATCCAAATACTGTGTTCTGGAGAGATTGCTTCCAATGTTACGTACCTCGTGTGCATTTTGTTACACAGTTTGTGTATTAATTACGTGTATTTAATAGCGTGTGCATTGTATACAGGGGGGACAGCTTTTCAGCTGACCTGAGAGACCGCAGTTTTGGTAGGCAAAGGTTATAAGAAGTTAACGTAGAAAGTTCATTTTGTTACTGCATAGGTAGATTAGAAGAGAACAGTTTTTTGGCTGCCAGTTCTCCATCAGGCAACACATTTTGTGTGATTGGTTTTGCTATTGCCTGTAGGGTCTGTGACGTAGCGTAAGAAAATGGAAAAAAAGCTTTACGGTTGCAGAACGTGATGGTAAAAACCAAGCATCAGCAAACTCCTTGTACTCCACTTCCCTGATCATCTGGGACTATTTTCAATCGGTTTCCTTAATGGGTTAAAACTCAAGGGCAAAAGGGAGGCAGTTCAGGAAAAGCATGAAGATAAATTGAGTTTTGCTTTTAGTTGTGGGTATTTTCGTGTATGTATTTTAAACTTACTCTTTATTTGTTTTAGTTGTGCCTCAAGAGGAGTTATTTGCTGGGTATTTCTGTCAAGGTAGAAGGCATCTCCCACGGCTAGAAATACCTCCCAGAAGAACAGTTGGTATGTGTACTTGTGGAATAAGAATGTTAACTGCAGAAAGTGCTTAGAGTTGTAATTTAGATTTAATTCCTTGACAAATACTATTATTGGCTGTTCTTTTTCCTGTTGTTCTGTGAAACCTCGTATCACAGAGACTACAATTAAAAAGCTTATAAAAATTCCATTCGTCTTGGTAGGTCTTTCTCTTTTCTACTAAACAGTTGGTGTAACTCTTTGGAATATGTGAAGTGTTATTATAAATTAAAATATGCTGTAATTTTAAAAATAATTTAAGTTGCTAAAGCTCTTCAGAGGATCGGAGTACCATAGTCGCGAGTGGCTCTTTAAGTACCTTTTTAGTTCAACCACAGTCAGTCTGAAGGACCTTTCTGCTTTTCGGAAAACTAGATCAGGTGCTTTAGAAACCTTTGCCCCGGGTCTAGCTGAAACCCAGCGTTGCGCTCGTGCGTGTGTCAGCATCGGTACGAAGCGTGGCACTGCCCAGCACAGAGCAGCGCTACCGTGGCGCCTCCTCGCCCGCACCGGTGCCCTGGCGCAGGAGGGTCCCCTCTGACACGCGGTGCGGCGCTGAGGGCTGGGCTTTGGGACGGCACCCGGAGTTACCCTGTGGAATCAGCGGGTCGCTTTGTCAGCGGCGTGTCAGCTGTCTCTAGAGCTGCACAGTGGTGATTGCAAACTGACTTAAAAATAGCTTCAAAGTCATGTTAGTTCAAAAGTTGTTATGTGTCAGAATTCAGTGACAACGGTGACTTCTGCTGCTTTAAGAGTAAAAGCCTGAGGTCAGTTCTCTGTTTTTAGAGATCACGGTGATAAATATTGTTTAGTAGTAGAATAAAATTATACTTGGTTGAAAGCACAACGGGGGGATCGAGTACTCTTCTGCTAATGCTGTGTTTTCTGTTTGCTGTGGTTCTCTTTGCTAGAACTTTCTTCAATAAACGTGCTCCCCTTTGGTTTGAGGTGGCCTTAGTATTTTTGTTGGTGGTGCTGAGAACTCCCTCTAGAGGCACTTGAGGTTGTACGAGTCTGGATGTAGTAAAAGGTGTTTCTGTTTCAGATGATACACAGTTCATAAGCTTTGACTTTGCCATGGAAATATACAGTGTAGTGCTTCTACAAGGTATACTCCAAAATATCAGCTTGCTTTTTGTTTTTGCAGTGAAATGCTTGAAATTTTCCACGTTTCCTTGGCTAAATCTGACGTCAACAGATAGACACGTTCTTTCATCGAACGAAAGGTACAGTGACAGAAACGTTACAGTGGCCTTGTAGTTTGATTATTGTTTTTTGGCTAAGAGTGGTTCTGAATTTGTGTCCTTCTGCATCATTAGGCTGTTCCTGTAAATAACCTAATGAGCTGACTTTGTGATAAATAATCCCGAGAGCTGTGCTGCAGTTGGGCAGAGCAGATAAAGAATGAGCTGTAACAGGGCGGGTTTGCTGTTGGTCACTCCCGTCCTTTGTGTTTAACTCGGGGTGGGTTGGGTTTGTTCGTGGCTCTTCAGGCCGACTTCTTAAGTGGATCAAGGTTTTCATGCCGTTAGTTTCGGAACAAGCTGGAATCAAGCCGTTATTTGCTGTACCCCCACGGCCGCCTGGCAGAGGAATCCATCCCTCTGGCAGCAGCTTAGCTAGGTTTGGGCCGGTACGTTCGGGTGCAGTGCCGTACCCAGGCAGTCAGGCGGGCAGGTCGTCTTTCTGCAGTCACTTTGGTTGTTGTTTTTTTCTTTGTTTGTAACTTTCACTTATAAAAGCAGTGTTTGAAGTGGCCCAAGGAAAAGTTTTGTAGCTGGGAACCCATAGGATTGACACAGAGCTGTGATCGATTTCTGGCATAGCCAGCAATGCAGTGCAGGGGACTGCACTCTTTAAGAAGTTCACTCGAACTGGAAGCTTTCTTGTAATAGGTTTTTGGGTGGTTTTTTTTCTTCCTTTTGAAAGATCTCTGAAGCTGGAAAACCTCTTTAATATTTAATTTCCTGTATATCGGAGTCTAGAAAAAGAACACAGATCCTTAAAACTGGACATGTTTGATTTTTTTTTTAAATGATTTTGGAAACAGTGGTTTCTGAAACAATAAATATGGGAAAAAGTGAAGTAGAATACCCAAAAGATTCTTATTATTTACTAATATAGATGTTAGAGAATAGCTAATAACTTTCTTCCTTTATGTAACTTCCCCATATGTAATTCAAGCGCTTTTAAGTTGTACATGAACCTCGGCAATGAAAGAAACGTTCTTGCTGCTCAGAGGTGGATCGCCTGCTGCACACCACTGAGCTACTTGCTCACTTCATGGGGAGTTTCCAGCCTGTCTTGTCTTCGTTTCAGGTTCAGAATCAATGAAGTTACTTCTTTTCTGGGAACTTAATTTTACATGTGGTTTGATAGCCGCTGGAATTGAGTTGGTTCTTTATTGTATACAGACACAGCATGACTAAGGAATAATTGGAGTTTTAAAATGGTATGACAATAGAGTTACAGCATTTTTCCCTTTAGATTCTTCAGTATTGTGATTATAACTTTCTTGTAAAGACTTGTTCAAGCTGATGATTGCTGCTTGGTTCTTTTGGGTTTAATGCACCTTTACCTGTGACCTGCACTTCTAGCTCTTTGAGAAGCAACAACCAAAGCTTAATCTGGAGTACGTGTGAGCTGCTTCAGGATGTCATTATGCAAGATTTCCCTGCTGAGATCTTTCTTCAAAGGCCAAAGATTGTACAGGCAAGAATTCACAGAAAGTTCAAGGTTTTTGTTGTGCCGTGGTAGGAGCTGTGCCAAGTAAGAACTGATGTCAACGATAAGTTTTGTTTCTAAACCAAAGTCCCTGTGTGTGAACTCTGGGTAGAAAAGGGGGCGTTAGCTCTATGTTGTGTTCAGACAGTTGCTGGGTGGTAAGGACCTCACTAGTCAGTAACGCTGCCTTTCTGGGCAAGGCAGAGCCGTGTCGCTGCCCCGGGCAGACCCTCCGGCGGGCTCCTGCAGCGGGAGCAGTGACCTCACGGGCGGTGCAGGGTGGGCTCCGCTCGCCCCAGCACCGTCGGGCTCAGCTGCGCTGTCGGACGGAGCGCGGGACCACTGCCGCTGCGCCGCGAGCTTTGGGCGCTTGGCGCCGTCTGCGAGCTGGACTTGGGGCAGGGCTGGCCGGCGTGAGGGTGCGTTAGTGTCGGGCTGCCGGTGCTGATGGCTTTGTGTCCCCAGAGCCTTTTGTCTCTGCTGGGCCTGGCCTTCGGAGGGGGCGGAGGACACCGGTTGGCCCTGCAGGCCGTGGCCTGCCTGCAGCAGCTGTGCCTCTTCTTGAGAAGCAGGCTGAACTTCCACAGAGACCCAAGTTTTTCTTCCACGGAGCAAGGTCGGTGTGTTTAAATATTTGAAATCCTGTTGTGTTTTTACTACAGCCAAGGTTATCTAAAATGATTTAAAAAAAAAGCCAACCCACAACCTTATAGCAAATGTAATCTTGTGAAACTGTTTTGCTAAACGATGGTGTTCAGCACTATTCGTGTAGTAAATATTTTTAGAGTACTTGCATTATTTTAAAATAATACTTACTCATTTTTGCAATTTCCTGTGATTCTCCATTCATCAACTTTTCCCAGTATCTAACTGTTTGTATGTCAGCAGGAGAGGGATTTTTTTACTCGAACTAAATTAAATCTGTAAAATAAAAGTGGGCAGAGTTTCAGAAAAGTTTTCACACTATCAGTGCTTAACAATCTAGTGACTGGTTTCATGAGCTGTGTCAATTTTCTTTTTTTTATTCTGATGGCTGAAAATAATTTAACCGTTGTTCTGGATTTTGCAGTCATTAGGGCTATTTCACAACGTTCTTAATGCTTCAATTCTGTGGATGTAATGGTGTAGGTTAGTTAGAATGATCTTCCCGTTCCATTTCTGTCAGCTGAATTTAACCAGCTTTGGTTCTCAGTTGGTAGTCAGGCTCTCTTCGTGAGACTGCCGCTGTGTTTGGTGTCTTCATAAACCATACTGGCTGTTTCTTTGCTAATGCAGTTAGAACATCAACAAACGCAATAGCCTTAGTCAGGCGCTAGGTTGGGGTTTTTGAAACTCATGTTTAGGGTTCAACTGTAACTTTCGGTGGTTTTGCCTTGGAATGGAGTTTCCAAACGCTGCTGCATGCCAGGGTTAGGTTGCCCGAGCTCTCCCGTCCCTAGTGGCGTTTTCCCTGTCCTGCCGGAGCCACTGTTGCCATTGCTTCTCCGTGTAGTATCTTGCAGGGTAACGGGTTCCACTGATGGCAAACGTGTGGTCTGTTACGTCCAGGCGCAGCGTCCCAGAACTCATCTCTGTCTTACTGCCAAGAAGCACGAGGCCCCCCTCGTTCTCAGAGCCCCTCACCTGGCAGTAGCAGCCCTCGGCCGTCTGTGGTTGGACGGACAGGCCAGCGTCCCAGAGGAGATGGTCAGGATTGGGATGCAGCGTCTTCCAGGTGAATAAAGTAACTTCAACTAAAAAATTACGAATTCAGTATTGTATCAGGAGCTCCTTGTGAGAGTGTGGGGTGGTGCAAGAGTTCTGCTCGCCTGTGAGGATCCAGACCGCATTTGAATTAAGCAGTTGGATCTTCAGGCGGTGTTCAGAACGCGTGGGATCCGTGCTACCTGCCACGGTCTGCGCCCAACCAGCGTTTTTAGACAGATCTCTAGTAGCAGCTGTTACTGCTTGGGCGTGTGAGAAAAGCACTTACTCAGACTATTGCTGTGGAGTCAGGGGGTTTTCTTCAGCAGGTGACCCTGTAAGTGCTTTTAAGTCGAATGGCCATCCCATCTTGTCTTTTTCAAAGTAATTGTAATACAAATTATTTGTTCGTTGCCGTTCTATGCGTAACTCTTCTTTTTCCTTGTTCTTAAATCTTGACTCTTCAGTCTGTCTGTTTGTGTGTTTCAAACTCTGCCTGGAAACTTAACCTTTCCTCTTCTGAATTGTTTTTATGGGTGATACCTCTCCTTCCTTGCCCGCTGGTAAGTGTGATCAGAACCACTACATGTTGGAGAACGCTTCTGTGTTGCTTATAGTCTTCCACTGACCTCTAAAATCAGTCGGCTTTTGAATTCTTAATTGCAATTCTTGAGCCATCTTGTACGCTTCGCTAGTATAATGTGACGCGGTCATGCCACGATTCAGGGTCGCCAGCTTATTTAATAATAAAAGAGCAACCAAACAAAAACCAACTGCAAAAGCCACACAGGCTTTTAAAGCAATTCAAGGTTGCTAAATGGTGTTTAGGATAAGAAAAAACATTTTAAAAGTTTGTTCCGAGTTGTATTAATTATGATGCTGCCGATAGAATTAGGTTCTTTTTGAAAGCGGTTGGGAAATAGTAAAACTGTGAACCACATATAGAGCTCATAATTTAAAATAATTATATATAATATAATAAATCCATGTACATTTTGTAATACGTGCTTGGTTGCACTTAAGGCTGTCTTGGGCAAGGGAATATTTGCTGGTTTAAAGTGGACAAAGAATTCCTGCAGCCTTAACCTAGGGCACGCTTCCTTCCCTCTCCCTGTGCCGACCCTTGCGGCTAGCTGCCTGCAACGGGCTAACGCTGCTGGTGCAGTTTGGGCCGGAGCTCTGTTTGGTCGGTGGCCTTGCTTCAAGCCGCTGCCGGGCTTCGTTACCAGGAGCAGCGTTTCAACTCCAACCATTCGCCCCTCGCGATGCCGCGCTCCTCGCGCGTGCCTCTCGCCCGGGACACGTCTCGGGGCGGCTGCCAGAACAGGAGGCGCCCGCTTGTGGTGCTGCCGGTTGTGACGCTTGAACGCGGCCAGACCGAATCCCCCTCTTCCTGCGAGGCGGGTGGAAGCAGAGAGAGGCTGGGGGGAGGAAGGAGGTGCATCACGGCAGGAGGACCTTGCATTGCTCGAGGCGGGTTTTGACAGCTGTCCACGTCTGGGTTTGCTCACCGCCGAGCTAACGGTGTCCCTTGGTTTGTCTGTGGTTCAAAGTGGAAACAGCACTCAAGCGAACGCCAACTCCAGGATCTCTCTGCATTCCCCGCTTGGTGTAGGACATATCGACCTACCGGATCCTGAAAGCGAGGACACTCTGGAGCTGCAGATGAAGCAGCTCAGCCTTCCTCAGTTCGGTGTTTCCGTCTTGGAAAACGCCGTACCTCTGCTAAGAACAGGTGAGAGAGTTTTGAATTCAGTACTTCTGTCACGTGTCCTTCCCTTGTTTAGTGCAAACCTCTGGAGAAGCTGGAGTTAGGAGGTGGGCACCTCAGATAGGTCCGTGCTCACCTGTACCTTACTCACTGTGCCTAGTTACAGCAGTTTGTTCGGGTCCTAAAGCCTGAGTCTGCTGATTGAGTCCCAGAATTGCTGCAGAAGCGTCAAGTGCTTTTTGCTGGTGGTGGGAAGAAGGGGGTGTGTGGTGGGAGAAGGGTGTGGCTGGGTAAAATGGCATTCAGGAAGGTGAAAAAAGAACCACACGTAACAAAACGTGTGTTCTGGTCTCTTTGGGCATAGGGTCGTCCTCCTGTTCAAGAACTGATAAATAAAAGTTCTGGGAAAAGGTTTGGTTTTGTTCTTCTGGATGCAGTAACAAATCATAATTGGGCTTTAAGAGATGCGAGTAACAGTAGTCTAATGGCAACCAGTAATTTTTATCTGAACTTAGAAAGGTTCTGAATTGCAGAGCCTCTTTGAAGGACAGTCTTTTTGCTCTTAGGTTGTCTAAAATAGTATTTAGTTGTAAAACAATGTCGTTCAAAACAGGTACTAGTAGACGTGGTAAGGTTTTCAAATACAGGAGATGGAGGTGTGTGCCTGTCTATGACTAGAACACTTTGGTGATTTTGGCTAGTTGTTGTCTGACATGGTTCGGAGCTATTGGTGGCTGAGTGCTGTTAGCATTAGTTTAGTAGAAGTGTATAGGGAAACTAAAATATCACAATTTCAGGTTTGGAATAATTCTTTGTTCAAAGTGGTGTTTTCTGAATGTCACAATATAATATTTTGTCTGTATTAGAATTTATCCTCTCGTTTGTATTCCTAGGCAGTAGGAGAGTGACGATGGAAGTTCTTGACTTGCTTGTTGAAGACCTGTTCCTTATTGGTGATGCCATTTCTGCAGACGTTTGGGAGGATGACAGCCTCTTTGCCTTGGAGTTGGTAAGGCTCTTCAGGCTTCCACCAGCCGCACGTTACGGTCTGCTCTCGTAAGCCTCTGACGTTTTCTGCCGCCATTCGTATACGTACCTCATCTGCTGAGCTGCCCTTCTGGAAATCTTCAGCAGTTTGTTCCTAGTTCTGTCCCTGGCACATTATTGTTTTTTTTTTAATGTAAGGTCTCTTACCAGACGATGCTTGAAGCTTCACCTCAAGAAGATACATAATGAATTTTGTCTTGCAGTAAAGGCTGTTCAGCAGCCGTTGAGCGAAACATATGTAAGGAAGGGGATCTGAGGGAAGAGTACTGACGACTGATGCTGGAGACAAGTTTGGTGTAAATGACACCTTTCACTTTCATTACTCCCTGTGAACTGCCTGTATAAGACCAGGGAGATGCCTGTTCGGATCCAAGACTGGAGCTGTAAGAGACGTGGTTGCCATTCCTACTCAGGACCTGCAGGTCCCTGCGCGGCTCTCGGCTATCCATAGCTCTGTCGCTTAGCTGGGAAAGAAAGAGGAGGCTTTTGGGCCCGGGGCAGACTCAGTGTTACTACGGTGCAGCTGGCCGAACAGCTTGCGTTGCTGGGGGTGCAGACCCGAAGGCGGCTGAGAGTTGTGGCGTACGTGACGTACCGCACGCGTGAGTCACCAGCGAGGTGACAGTGGCAGAGCTGCTTTCCTGAAGGCAGCTGAGAGCAGGGCGGCCAGCCAGCGTGGCTCGTGCACGTAACGAACATACCAGCGTGGCAGACTGGAACCTGGCCAAGAGTTTGAGTTGAGTGTGGACTTAAATGCGCGTGACTTGAGTTGGAATTCGTGAAAGTGCCGCTGCGTATGAAACAGTGGTGTTGGAGTAATTATTAATGAAAATATGAAATCGTAGAATCATTTCAGTTGGAAAAGACCTTTAAGATGACTGTAGGCTTCCCTATTCTCCATTTTACAAATGGTGTTTGTATTATTTATAGGGCCTAGCAGTGAATGAGGACTTTTTTCTTTGCGTTTACTGTACTGATCTGTCAAAACCTGTTATAGTTGATCAACATCAAGTCAGTGTTGAAGATTCCTTGCAGAGCACTTAAACTAAGAAGCTTAACGTGATCTCTTGTCTAGTTGTGTATGACCTGAATCAGGACAGCTTGTTGTGAAGAAAGCTGTCAAACCCCAGCAGAAGCTGGGAGCATCATCTCTGTACGTCCTCCTGCTGGCCGTTAGTTGGGGAGCGGTTGTTTCCAGGCTACTAACAAGCAACGCTCCGCAAATAAGCTGGGCCGTTGTGCACAATTATGTTGAATTAAAAAATAAAAAGCACTTGGTGACACAACTTTATTCTGTTGGTTGAACTTTGAGATGTGTGAGTAGAACACCTTTCAGATATAAAATTCACCTCCCATCGAAAGTTACGAATCTGCATCCGTTTGGGAGGCAGAGCTGGACTGTGCAGTGCAACTCAGTAAAGCTGATTCTGGCAAAGCGGTGGCAAGGCAGGAGATAAAAAGCAGCTCTTCATCTTTCTTAGTGCTTGAGTAAATACAGATAACGGAATGGACAATTTTCGGGAAACAACCACTAAACTTACCTTTATGTTATTTAGTACTATATCAAGGAAACTTCTTTGATCAGTAGACTGTAGAGTGGTTGGGCTTGAGTGCTCGGCAAACACGCTTCCTCCTTGTGTTCTGTGTTGGCTCCAAGGGAAGGAGGTCGTGGGTCTCCTGTCTAGGAAACCTGAAGGCATTTCTTGTGTAACTATTGCTTTTGAACTTCTGGAGTTTTAACGATTAGTGTTCCTTTGTTTATCCAGCTCTAGAACTCTGCACTGGAATAGCTTTGTGAAAAATGGGTATTTTGGAAATCCAGTTCAGAAGTACTGGAGTTTGTAACTGCGTGTGTTGTACCCAAGTTCTTGTGCTTCCTTTCTCCCCAGTTGTTACCGTTTCACGGCTGTGTTACCTGTGCTCAGGTGACGTTTGCTCCTGCCACGTCGAGAAGGGAGGTGCTGCGGGTTGCCGTGGCCCCTCGGCTGGTTTGGGTCCCCGCCGCGGGGCGGAGGGAGCTATCGGTGTCCAGGGCTGATCTGGGGCTGCATGGCCGAGCCGCAGAGGCTCTTCCCGCTGCCGCAGGCTGTAGGGGGCAGAGAGAAGGTTGCTTTTTTGGGCTCCCGAAGATGGCAATGAATCCTCTCCGTCTTCCTGTGGTGTAACAGTGCGTGTTGGTAATTACTTGAAAAGGCTGATTGGGTTTAGTCAGTTGCTGCTTGTCATTTTCTTCAACTTCAGCTCTGTTGAGTCAGCTAAACAGAGCTTAATTGCTTAAGAGAGATTATCAGTTTCTGGAATTAATAAGCTGCATCTCACATGTGCCATTGCCTCCTTAATCGTTGTTTGGCATTTCAAAGCTGGCAACTGAAATGGCTGCTACCTCTGTTCTAGTGTCCCTAAGTACAAACCTGGCTTTTTCAGGTGGCCAGCCTTATGGAAAGTAGTTTTGTTTTCTCCAGGGTCAGTGAGCTGGATTTATCCAAGTGATCCATGATTCTTAAGTAGGATTTCATGTAATCTGAGAAATGTTTCCTTGGAGAATGAATAGGCACGCAAAACATCTGATGTTGTCAAAGTTTGGATTGTGGGTTGGTTTTTTAATTATTTTTTTTAATTTGAAGGTAAAGCTTTATTAGCAGGTTCAAACCAGCTCGTCATATTTCTGTATTAACAGTGAACTTCAACACAGTTAAAATTCGAGAAGTTCAGAAGTGTAATGAGCAGGAATTAAGGTGCAGGGGAGGAAGAGGGGGGAGGGTTGGTGGAAGAGTAACCAGAAATGGGTAACTCAGAGCTACAAGTGAAGGCAGAGTGAGGTCTAGAACTCCTGCAGTGCTGTGTGCTTTGTACCCGTTCTGCGTTTTTAAATGTTGGGTGCCATCGCGTTGATGATGCTGTGGGTGCCGCATACCGCTGCCGAGACGCAATGATGTTTCCGTTCGTCCTGGTGACTGTGTTTCTGGTTGTCTTTTCAG